GCTCGTGAGGTGAAGAGGGTTTTTTTCCCAATTTATTCCTCCTTTCTTCCTTTCTTTCCTCCTTCCCTCCTTCCTTCCTTCCTTTTTTTCTTTCACTTGTTCATTGGTTAACTCACTCATTTGAGAAGGCGAATATGGCAGCTTTTTTTGAGTGCCTCATATGGCATTTTATTGAGTGCCCAATATGGGACAGGCACTGTGCAAGTTATGCAGAGAAAACAAAAATCACAATGCATCTCCTGCTCTTACAGTATAAAAAGAAGTAGACAAGTAATCATTGATTTCAATAGGGTGTTATAAGTACCAGTATGGAGGTAAACACAGACTGCAATTAGAGGTCAAAGCAGACAAAAGAAAGTGAAGAGATGGTTTCACCAAGAATTTTCCTCCTTTCAAGTTGAAGCTTAAAATGAGAGGATTCAGCCAGACCATGGTAGGATTGAGGGGATGAGCAGAGTAGAATACTGACATTACAATCAGAGCAAACAGTATTTATGAAAAGCTAAAAGAAAGCAAGCTCATGGCATGTTCTGGGGTCTTGCAGTTTTTCCAAGTAGCTAGAGAACAGAGTCAGAGGGAAAGGGGTAGCAAGAGAGAAGCTGGAGAGAGAAACAAGCGCAAATTGCAGAGAGACTTATATTACTATCTATTTAAAATCAGTTTCTTCCAACTCATAGATCCCAACTCCTGCCTTATGGCACTTCAGCTCAGCGTGTTTTAGTTTAATGTTTGCAGCCTTGCCTATTTCTGGATTCTTCTACACTGCCTACACCGTGATGTTAAGTCACTCTCATATTAAGTCAGGTGCATATTCCCTATATTGCATGAATGAGCGAGAACAAAATAAAGACATTCTTAGGTAAAAAAAATTTTGAGAATCCTAAAAGATATACTTTAGTAATAAGAAATAAAATAATGCCAATTAGGAAAGTCTAATATACCGAATGAGTTGTGTACAAAATGTTAAACTAGGAATAAACATAATCAAACATTTATTGTGTAAATTAATGACATAATCTTAATACAGGGATTAAGTAAGATAGGCATAACATGACGGAAAATAGAATATATGCAGGAAAGAATCATTAAGTCCTTAAACTATTCAGGAAGAAGTTAAAGATGTTGATTTTGCTGTACTTCTAGTAAGTGAAATACACATTCCAAACATTCTAATAATTTATAACTTAAAAACTTATCAATAAAATATATCATAAGAAAAAACTCAATTCTAAACTTAGTTTCATCTAAAACCATGGCTTCAAATTATATGAAGCAAAAATATGGAAAGAAAAAATGGAAAAAAAATAAAGAAATTCATTATCATACTGAGATATTTTAATACAGCTCTTACAGTAATTGACAAATCAGTCAGAAAATAAATTAGAAATATAAAAGATTTAAATAACACTATTAGCACAGCTAACAAAATGAAATCTATTTAGAATTGTATCCCACTATCAGAGAAAACATTTTTCCCAAATAAAATATTTATGCAAATTACCCATACAGTAGGACACAAATTAAGCCTTAACAAATTTTATTTTACTTTTTTTTTTTTTTTTTTTTTTTTTTTTTTTGTTTATTGCAGTAACATTGGTTTATAACATT